CTTCCTTCTTCTTCCGAATCTGGGATGAAGATTCGGTTTTTTTTTCTTCTTCCTTCTCATTCTTCTCCTTCTTCCTTCCCCTTCTTCTCCTTCTTCCTTCCACCTTCTTCTCCTTTTTCCTTCTTCTTCCCTCTTCTTCTTCTTCTCCTTCTTCCTTCCTCCTTCTTCCTTCCTCCTTCTTCCTTCCCATTCTTCTCATTCTTCCTTCCTTCTTCTTCCTTCCCCTTCTTCTCCTTCTTCCTTCTTCCTTCTTCTTCCTTCTTCTTCTTCTTCTTCTTTTTCTTCCTCCGAATCTGGGGAAAATGAAGGTTTTTTATTTTAAATTTTATTATTATTTTTTAATATATATATAATTATTTTTTTGGTTAATCTCTGTTTACTACCCTGAAGTTTTGTGATTTTCAACATTTGGTACATGAAGTTTTTTTCATCCTAGAGTCATACCTCAAGTCTTCAATTTGGGATAGTTTCATACATCCGTTAAGTTTTCCGTTAGAATTTCTGTTAACTGATGACGTGGCGACCATGTGGACAATGACTAGGCGCCACGTGGATATTAAAAATAATAAAATAATAAAAACTAAACAAATTTAAAAATAAAAAATAAAACTTTGTCTTCCTCCTCCCTCTTCCCCCACACCCTTCTACCCCCACTGCATTTCCCAAAACCCCACTGCCCTCTGAAAAATCCCCAAAACCATGTCTAGAATTAAAAGCAGTACCGAAGACGGAAAAGCATTAGGAACAATCCCATTGCTCTGCATCTTCCTGAAAATCCTCTTAGCATCTTCAAACTTCTATGCTTTGCAAAACCCATTAACCACAACAGTGTATATAACAACCTTAGGAATAATACCCTTTTCGCTCATCGACCTAAAAAGCTTTATGGCCTCCTGGACTAGCGCATCTTTGCATAGCCCGTCAGGCATTGCCACCGCATTCAGAATCAGACCCGTCTTCTTCATCTTCATGAATATCAGGTCCGCTTCTTCTGCAGCCTGTGGCGGCTTGGAAACTTCCTTAGGCTCCTTCCTCTTCGACTTGTCGAGTCCAAGCTTCAGCTTTCCAGCACCGTCAAGAGCTCTATTGTGTTGCACATCAAATCCTCAGAACCCCAAAACCTCGCCGCAGGCAAAACCGAAGACGGAAAAGCAGCATCATCAGGAGCGATTCCGGCTCCGACATTAGGATGAGCAATGGCAAAGAATGGAAGAGCGAGAACGGGAGGATACGGCGTCGTTGGTGGGTATGTGTGTTCGATCTGGACCTCCGATAGACGCCTTAGAACGTAATTTTTCAGATCCAACGATAGTGGGTCTTGGTGTTCGATCTGGACCTCTGATCGACGACTCTGAACAGACTCAGTACTGAGTCAACGTTGTGGGTGACTATGGGTTCGAACTGAAGCTTCATGGAAGCAGAAATGGGGGAATCTAGTGACAAACCACATAATTTTTTGAGGTAACAGGCTAAAAAAAATTGTGGGTCGGCGAAATTCGAGAACTTGGAGGTGGTTTTCGGAAGAGGAGGTTGGGAAATGGAGTAGGAGTAGGAGGGTAAGGGTGCATAGGACAAATCTAGAGGTGGGTTTAGGCCTAAACATGGTTTTGGGGATTTTATAGAGGGAAGTGGGGTGCGGGGGAAGAGGGAGGAGGAAGACAGTTTTTTTTTTTCTTGAATTTTTTTAGTTTTTATTATTTTATTATTATTATTATTTTTTAATATCTACGTGGCGCCCAGTCATTGTCCACGTGGGCGTCACGTCATCAGTTAACAGAAGTTCTAACGAAAAACTTAACGGAGGTATGAAATTGTCCCAAATTTAAGACTTGAGGTATGACTTTGGGATGAAAAAAACTTTATGTACCAAATGTTGAAAATCACGAAACTTTAATGTAGTAAATAGAGATTAACCCATATTTATTTATTTATTTTATAAATAATTTATTTTAAATTTCCACATGGGTGACACATGGTGCCCAGTCATTGTCCACATGGGCACTACGTCACAGTTAACGGGAGACTTAACAGTTTGACTAATGGATGTATGAGACTGCCCTAAAATTTACACTTTAGGTATGACTCTGGGACGAAAAAAACTTGATGTACTAAATGTTGAAAACCACGAAACATGAGGGTAGTAAACAATCTTTTACCCTAAAAATAAAAATTATTAGTATATAACTACGTATTGCTAGATACGGGACAAATATAGACAAGACTACACGTTAAGAAAAATACTCTTTAGCCCTTCCATACGGGAGATGACCACATCTTTTATAGGGAAAATATTTAAAATTACACTATGTTTTGATGAACAAATTTAAGATTACTAAGGAATTTAAAATGATGGGATTTTATTTTTTAGAATTTGTGAATTTTCTTGTTTGGTTAATCTAAAAGAACAATGAAATTGAAAACGGAATTTGTTATTTTTAAGCTCTCGATCATAGAAATTGAGAAGTTACACCTATTTACATATAATTTAAACTTAGGCATTGTTGGTCCCAAATTCAAGTTTTTTTTCTACGCGAAAATTTGAAATTCCTATGTTTATGTAACCAAACAAGAGAATTGATGCGTGTCAATTTATAAATTCTAATTTTTATCTAAATTTTAAGTTTATTTTTCTCATTCAAACATAATGTTACTCTCTCATGTAAAGAGTTATTCCTTTTGGCACCTAAATCATATTACAGATGTAAAAAATTATTCGTTTTGTAATTTTGACTAATGTGATTGGCGATTAAAAAGAGGACTCCTACGAAAACCAAATGGCAACATAAATCCAGACTTTCTGGGTGAGATTCCGATGTCCAGACCCATCACCCACGTTCTCTACAAATTTTGTTTTTTTTCCTTTTGTTTGTTTTTTTTTGGCTTTATGAGATACTTCCATGGATGATTTGGGACCTTCTAAAACGACACTAGTGGACAAAGTATGAGAGTTGAAAGCCAATGGAGTTTTCAAGGCTACGAACGTAATGCTATCATCCAAAAGTTTAATTCCCACTTGTTTAACGTGACAATGGGACCTCGTTCAAAAGACGGTGGTGCAACTTATAATCTTCTATATTTCATTCAGAGCGATCGACTGGATTAGGACTAAAATTGATTATTTAACACTAGCCTTGATTTGATAATTTAGATTATTCTGATTATTTTAGTCGAATAAAATAAATAATTATCGAATAGTACTTACTAAATTAATTGGGTATTTGATGTAATATCATACTAATGATTGAATTATTTATGTATTTACTATTGTACTGGATATGAATTCAATATAATTATCTAGAAACCCAAACACTTTTCGAATCCCTATCTTCAAAATAAAAAGCAAATAAAAAGCCTCAAAATCAGAACAAAACCTAATTTAAAAAAAAAAAAAATTGCTCAGATAAAATCTTACCTAATTTTCAAATTCCATCATCGATTTCCAGCCAAGGTCCTAAAATCCAGTTGAAAAAAAAATCCAGATCCAGATCACAAAAAACAACAGCAAAAAGATAACCCAAATTCGTAATTTCAAACACCCAAATGACTAAATCTCTCAAATATCACCAACTAATGATTAAAAACTTAAACCAATACCATACTGAAAAACCCAACTTGGATCAAATGTTGTGAGACGAGAGAGAAGCTCTCTTTGTGCTGTGGTCGGTGCGAGACAGCAAGACGGTTGGTGCAAAGTGTCTTTCTCTCTTTATGGGTGTCTCCAATTGTCAGACGGAGAACAAAGGTGACGGGGATAATTTGCACAAGAGAGAGGAAAGAGAATCCGACTAATAATACATGTGTTTTGGACGGTTTTATTAATCATGTCTATACAATATAAAATAAGTGGGCTGGTTAAATTAATTCGGTGCCTATTAATACGGGAGGGCACTAAACGATTGTGTTCGTATTATTAGTCTTAACCGGTCTCTTAAACAAACTATCAAACGAGGCTTAAACTTAGCTTGATCTGAAAAGTTAATTAACAATTAAACAAGCTCTTACATGGGATTATTTTAGGTCATTTAAAATAAGAGGCCTAGTTAGATCTAACCCAACCAAAAGCTAATTTCTACAATTTGTCCAAGTTAAGTCAATTTTATGTATCAACAAGTGTGCTCTTAATGAGTCGATTTTTCCCACAATTGTACACAAGCATGCCAATTTCAAAATCCAGTTTTGAAAAACCGGTTTTTTTTTCACATCTGTTTTACATAAAAGTTTATCAAACATTATAATACTGTTTTTTTTTTCAAAAGCATTTTTATAAAAAAGTTTACCAAACACTCTATAGCTTTATTTCACAACCGCTTATTCTCACAGCACAATAGAATCAACTTTTTTTCAAAGCACAGCAATACCAAACTAGCCCTAAGAGTTTTTATAAAAAATGTGTTGCCTAACTTGTATCTAATAACTTCCAGAATACAATAATTGTCATAAAGGGGCTTAATCTAAATGAAAACACTGAATACAAGTCATACATAGTTTTAGTTAATTTTCAGGCGTAAAATTCTTTTATTCTTCAACAGTTCCCAATGCTTTAATCCTCCCTAATTCTTTTGTTGTGCTTTTAACCAAAGCACTTTCAACAACAAAAAAAAATTCATAAACAAGTGATTTGAATCAAGGAAAAACTAATGAAAAAAGTTTAAAAACTTTGAATTTTAACTATAAGAACAAAATAAAGGGTAAAGTAATAGTAACATGATTGACTTTATAATGTAAAAATATGATTTTTCGTTAAATTAAACAGTACTGGGAGCTTTTCATTAAAGTTCTTTTGAATCAAACATTCTTGGACGTACCCCCTAAAGTCCAGTAGTTGATCAGCCCACAAAGCCCAATTACCCCAAAGGGAGATGGCGGTAAAATGAGTCCGGACATCGTACTTGCCCTTTCCAAATTTTGTTCACATTTTGAAATGACCCATATACCCCTCCCGGCCTCCAAATTCCAATCCCTATTTATTCTCCTTTTTCCCTCTCTCTCTCTCTCTCTCTCTCTCTACCATCTGAGTTTCTCAGACTCGCGCTCTCCCTCCATGGTCTCTCTCTCTCCAGAAAACCCTAGTTAATTGTAATTCAAGAAATTCGAACAGGATCAATGGAGAAGAAACTATCCTCGAGAAGAGAGCTGTTGGACCGCTGGAAAGCCATTGAGGAGGAAGCGGACGAAGACGACGATCGCATTGACCCCTCCAAACGGCACCGTCTCCACCACAACAAAGAACAATGGTGCCCCCTCCCTCTCTCACTTAGATTTTTGTTTAGTTCCGTTAATCATTGTTTTCGAAACGCGTAATCTTTTGAAATAGGAAACAGTTATCTTTGGTATACTGTGCTTATTGACTTTATTTACATTTTAGCTGGTTTTTGTTAGTAATCTTGTTTGGGTTTGGTGGTATAAGTAAATTGAAGAAGTTGATTTAGGAGCGGAAATGTTGAATTCGATTAGCGGCGTAGGAAATGGAAGCATGTGGGAGATGGAAAGTGTGCTTTTTGTGAGTGGAGGTAAGAAATGGAAGAAATAGAGAACTTTAGTTTATTACTATTACACTAGGCCTGCAAGCATCGACATTGTTGTTTAACCGATTGTGATCCTTAGCAGAGTTGTAAGAAACAAACTACATTATTAGGATGTTTGTTTCTGTCTATGGTTCACATTAACTTCTTCACGGATTTGTCTGATCGAGGAACTCTTAGGTTTTTCAGTTCAACCTTCTTTCTTAATTGTTACACCTCTAAAGTAAATAAATTTTAAACATAGACTTATTTACGAGAGATTTTGAGCTACCGATTCATCTCTCACTTTCTTTCTCTTTGCTGCACAAGATTGAATTCAAGAACCACGTGAACCTGAGAATGCGAGCATACATGCTTCAAGTTTATTTGATGGTTTGCTATTCGTAATGAGTTGATAGGCTCTATATGTATTTGTTTATTTTTAACATTTAAGATTTATTTGGCATTGTTTCAGGTTTGCAGATGCATTCAGTTTTTTGATCTGTTTGCCAAAAGAAAATCATATTTGGTGTGGGTCGTGGGACTTAATGGGGCCTCTTTTGGAGACATTTTATAACTACTTCAAAGATGACAATGCTGATTCTCCTCTTAGACAACTATGGAGGAGAATCTCTGAGGAAATGCGGCAGTGCATCCAGTGCATTTCCCAGCACTATCAAGCCCAAGACATGTATAGCATGGAGTATGAGACCAGTTCTATTGGTCCCCTCTTGGATGTTTTGCGAAGTCTCGATGAGGAAAGAGTGACGCAGCACTTGATAGAGATAAATACTAAATTAGCCCGAAAAGAATATGATGCTGCCCGTGATAATGCAGAAGTCATTAGTGTCATGTATGAGGTATGTCAGTGTTCTCTTATGGAGTTATTTTGTATGATACAGTTAGCGTAGTATAACTTAAATCAGGATGGAATTGACATTGATTTGATTGTTTGTTGTTAATTGGTTCGCAGGTTCTAATGTTCCCTGTATTATTGGATGATGAGTCCTTATTCACTGAGTTTGAAAGATTCATTGAAGCAGTTGACAGCATGCATGAACTGGCTCTGGCTGGACAGCAACAGTTTCCGGTATTTTGTTGATAGATTTATTTCTAGATGTTCATTAATTAGCTTTCATTTTACTTAAATAAGCGTAATTCTTCTTTCCTTATAGAGTGAAGCTGTTTTCTGTTAGGGTGTTTATGCATTATTTTTCTTCAAGAGAAGAGTGCGCTCTGTTGGTCATCGTCTAGCTGGTTCTATGGGAAAACTGAGGTACTGTTTCTTGAGTTTCAATATTCATCATTCAGATGATTATATCAACAAGTCAGTTTTGTTTTTGGGTTCTTTGCACTATGGTGGATAAAAGAGGAGGTGGCAGGTGTTTAAACATTCTACATTGTAATGTTCGAATGTGTAAGTGGTTGCTGCCTCCCAAGTTCCCAACCCACCCCCAAATCACACTTTTGGTTGGTACTGTCATTGGTATGCAGTGCTAATATCACTATTCACCTTCAAAAGACTGTACATTTTGGAAATGCTTTATGTTTCAACTTTAATTGTAATTCTTTCTTTTGCATTTGGTTTTCATTTTTTATTCTCTTCATGCATAGGAGAGCAACAGATTTGGAACCCTTGCAGCCTATACTTAAGAAATTCATCGGCTTCTTGGAGACAGAAGTGTTACCGTCAACTTTGAAAACTTCAAGGCCCAGAGTGCAGTTGGAACGTATATCCATATGGGTTGGAATAAAATCTCTGTAGGAACATCTGGATAAACCTGTTTATTACTGACCATTATTTTTCTTTTTCCATTTTTCTTGCTAATGATTCTTTTGTGTGTTTTATGAAGGCTTGGGTTTTTGGAACCTCCAGCTTTTGAAGAAGGGATATTAGAGCGCTATCCTATTTTTCTTGATATTGTACTCAACCATATTAGTGGGGATTCATCGGAATTCTCTCATGCAGTTTCTTGCTTGAGAATACTCTTTGAAATGCTTGGTACAGACCTATTTTATATTTTCAATTAAATGTTGGGATTCTGTTTAAAACGCTCAGAGTTTTTTCTTTATCATTGTGGCTTGGCTTAAGGTTGTAAGCTTTGGTTGAGATCAACACTGTCTCCAAGTGTGATGCGGAATACTCTGATAGGGCAGTGTTTTCATACTCGAAGCGAGAAAAGCCATAAGGATATTTTCGATCTTCTTCAGCCTTTTCTGCAGGCATGTCCGAGATACTCCACAACTTTTAGTGACAGTTATGTAGTCTATTTTTTACATGCTAGTAGGAGCTATTCTGACTTTACTCATCTGATAAGTGCAAGTCCAATTTATGCAGTCTCTTGAAGCTTTGCAAGATGGGGAACATGAAAAACAGCGCAGGCATTTTCTTTATTTTCTCCTCATTCAGGTGCCTGCGAGCAGTAACTTCAGTGGCTTAACGAGGCAAAAGGCTTGTCAGGTTCTTATTTCTTTCTGTAGATAGTTTCTCTTTTACAGGCTTTCTCTAGTGTATCCTGTCATTGCTACAGTAAGACACTTATATTTTTTTTTGGATTGTGCTTGCTTTATTTATTGCAAAATTGTATTTTCAGATAGCACTCCTTATTATACATCGAGGCTACACAATGAACCCGCCTTGTCCTCCTTCTGAATGCGCACATATGTGGTATGCAATTTATCCGTCATGGATTTGACATTCTGTGGAGGCCTTTCTTGATTATGAATAAATTAATAGACAAAACAAATGACAAAACCATTTATGCTTTTACTTTTCAGTTTCAAATGTGTCTTTTCTGTCCTTCGTTTTTGCCAACATATTATTCAAAATTATTGGAGGGAAAGGAGGAGACTTTAAAATGAATCTATTTTTCTCCTGGGTTGATTGTTGCAAGGAATTATAGTTTCATCATCATATTCCCTTCCTAATGGCTTATAAAGCGAATGTATAAGAATGGTTAGCGATTTCTGCATATGGGTGGTAAATCACGTATTTGTTTTTGTTTGTGTTGGTCAAGGGTTCTGCACAATATTGCTGTTGCCTCATTAATCTGTTTGTATTTTTCAGGGGCCCTTCTCTTGTGTCATCTTTAAAGGATTCTTCACTTCACAATTCTCTAAGGCAACCTGCCTTTGATCTGATACAAACTATCATGGTGTCTGATGCTGCTGTGTTAGTAAGCACAGTGCTAAATGCCCACCTAAACCTTTGTTCTGAAAGAAGCATGTCGTATGAGTTGAATGATGAAGATGATGAGGGGCTTCCATTTGCTGAGAATACAGAAGAGCAGGATAATAGCTCATGGAGTGAATTTAGCATACAAAGTAAAATTGCATCCCGGGAATTTAGAGAGTGGATGTGCATTCCAATGTTATGGATTGATGTCCTTGCTGACATCAATCCATCAGTTCTTCCTATATCATTTTCCAAGGCTGTTTTGTGGGCACGATCTCGTTTTCCTATGGTAGAACCAGTGACTGGTGGAGAAACGGCCCTTCCAGTCAGAACCTGGCTTTCATCCTATTCTGCAGAAATATCTTCAACCTTTGGGTGGAAGCTTCCTACTGGTTCTGACGATGGTGGAGATGTGGTGTCAAAGAATGCAATAAAAGCCTCAACAATGCCTCTTCCTCTAATACGAACATTCAATAGGTTTTTTTTTTCATTAAATGCTGTTATATTTTTGTTGGTTTCTGTGCTGTAGCTTTGATTTTGTGCGTACTTTGTTCCCGGTTGATTTGGTCCTAATAATAACATGGTGGTGTGTAACCGTGTTACAGGTTAACAACACATTTTCTGGTTCATGTGGGGCAGGGGGAACTTCGTAAGCAGTGGACGTGGGAGCCAAGGATGGGTGAAAGCTTGTTCCTCTCACTTATAGATCCCAATGATGTAAATACTTGATTTGAACAATTATTTGAACCTTTAGGCCAGAAGAAAAAAAAAAAAATTTGTAACTCAGATGCCACTTCATTTTATCTTGTAATTTATCATTCAATCATACTTACAAAAATGTTTGCATCTTGTGTGGTATCTTTATTCGTTTTGTATGACACAAATTTATATGTGATGCAGGATGTAAGGAAATTTGGCAAGTCAATCCTGGAACAGGTTTCCAATACACAGGGTCTTGCTTGTAGTTTGACATTCCTATGTTCTTATAGGTCTTCATTGTCTGCTGTCTTTTTAGGCTTGAGACATGCTGTGAAACTGGTAATACTTTTGTTTCATTGAATTTCTTGAAAGTTGAAACTACTGGTGTATAGTACCAGCATGTTGTTTACCTATCTGTGTTTCATCTAGTATATAACTAAGTACATCAGTACATGCTCAATTTATTTGAGCTCTAAAAGTTTGTTCAAGTCTCTCTCTCTCTCTGTGAGCCGTACTGTATTTAATGGACACCTTTTTAGTGGGTAAAAGAGGCTAAATGTTGTGACCTTCTATGTTGGGATAAACATTCATGTTTCCTCTAATTGGAATGTGAAGGCATATGGTTCCTTTTACTTATGTCAGGAAACCAGTCACAGATAGACCCTATGTTTAACGGGTAGAACATAAGTTCTGAAACTCTGTTTATGATGTCTTACCGTCTTACGGTGATAGATTTTCCTATTTTCCTTACTGTAATACTCTTTTTGAACTACAGTTCATTTCAATTTTCAGGTCCAACTGGATATTGTTTTATTAAAGTTTCAGACTCTGCATCATTTTTTCTTTGTTCTGCGGAGACTACTTATTGATGGAGATTCACGTGCTGCGGATATTCCAGAATCTGACCACTTAAATATGGCAAAATTCTCTTCCCAAGGTGGATTTCTCAGGCAGCCAGTCTTTGATTCATCCCCTGCCAACGTCAATGGGCATTCACCAAATCTTGACTCAAATTTACTGAAAAGATTTTATTACTTGATATCGGAAACTGCATGGCCTTCCATCTGCAGGTGCTTATTGGAAGGAAAAGCATTTATTGATAACAGTATTAATCAGGTAGTGTTTCTAATTGTAAATAATAATGTACTTTGGTAATCTCATATTGAAGACAACTTATTTGCATTTATGGTAGCAGTAGTATTTGTTTCCCTTTGGGTAGGTGGTGGGGTAACTTATCAAATGAAGTAAAATATGTATATTTGTGTTTGTCTGATACTAAAGAAAAGAAGGAAAATTGAACATCAGTTTCTTTGGCTTGGTTCGATTAAGCTGGAATCTTATTATATATTTATTAATTTTTTTTTCAGATGACTTGTGTACGCATACTTGAGATCCTCCCATGTGTATTTGAAAGAATATACTCTGGCATACGGGAAAACACATGTGACTTCTCATGGCTACATGATTTTATGGATTGGGGAAAGTCATCACTTAAAACTGTGGTTGTATACTGGCAACGAACAATCACCTCCTTGTTGAAGCTGCTGAAAGGGTCATATAACAGTGCTATTGCATTGACAATCAGCACCATTGAAAATCTCATTGCATGTGGTGAGCTTTCCATACTGAAATAGATTGATGCAAACTATCTTGCAATACTCCGTTTCTTCTGTTGAAGCTGTGACCATTTTTCAGTACTGAAAGTAACGTTTTGTTTATGGTTTTTGCCTTCTAAATCTAGATTGCGTTTCCATGGATGAATTGATGGAACAAGTGTCACGCCTTTCTGTTTCTCTATCTAAGGAAGCCTCTTCTAGTATTGGAAAGACCGACCTCTGTTCAAATGCCTTGTTTCCTGAAGGCTTATCTTTTGAGAAGTATTCAGCTCCTTATGTGCAACCCTTGTCCATCAAGGATCCAGATGTCCAAATCTTGCACTCACCATTGGTGGATAGTAGAAGGCATAGAGATGACATGATTGTCCTTTCTGATGAGGAAACTGAAGCTGTTTCACCCGATGAAGTAATTTTGTCTGATACTAAGGTGAGTCGGTGTATGGTGGATGACAAAACAATTGCTCCTAATGATGACAAAAGCACTTCATATACCGAATCTGTGAAGAAGAAGGTTTCTGGTGTTTACACATCCAAGTTTTATGTGAAGGCCTTCGAGAAAAGAGATGCTACAGATAGTGCTGACTTGGCTGTTCAGAAATGGGAGATTGATAGATCTATAGGAAAACGGCCACCTGTTTCCTCCCTGAAATCAAAAGATGAAGATAATAGCAGGAAAGCAATAACATCTGATAGCAATATAGCTGATTCTGAAAAATTGCAGGATAGAACTAGTACTAGAAACTCATATGATAGTACGGTTAGTTCCAAAAAGTTGAATCAAGCTCCCAACGCTTCATTGAAAGAGATAGTAAGTGATGCCAAAGACAATTCCTTGGAGTCTTCTCTCAATTCGGTCAGGCATCAGCAGTCACTTTTGGAAAAAATTAGCATTGCTGCTCCTAAACGACAACTCATTCAGCTTAAATCACCTTTGCAGAACAGGCCTGGCCATTTACAAAGGCTGGAAGCTCGAGTGAAAAGGTTCAAGCCACCAAAGCTTGATGAATGGTATAGACCTATTTTAGAATTAGATTACTTTTCACTGGTGGGGGTAGCATCTGGAAGTGAAAATGATAACCAAAAAGTTGCAAAATTAAAGGAGGTTCCTGTGCAGTTCCAATCACCTGAACAGTATGTTGAAATTTTTTGTCCATTGGTTTTGGAGGAGTTTAAAGCACAGTTACATAGTTCTTTTATAGAAATGTCTTCATGGGAAGAGATGTATTTTGGAACTTTATCAGTGCTTTCAGTTGAAAGAATTGATGATTTTCATCATGTTCGCTTTGCTCACGATGACAATGATTCTACAATGTCAAGCAACTTTTCAGAAAATGACCTTGTATTACTAACAAAAGAGCCCCCTCAAAAATCTTCTCATGATGTTCATGTGCTTGGGAAGGTACTCTTTCATATTATTCATGCGGCTAGTTAGTATTTTATTTGTTGTGATTTACCTGTCTTTGTCTCCAGTTGACTCAGAACTTTGATAAGTGATGATCAGGATGTTGTGTAGTTTGTTGATGGAAATTGACATGTTGCTAACAATAGTAAGAACGAAAAAGATTAGCGAAACCTGACTTCTAAATTTTAATCACTTATGATTGCACAGAAGTATTATTAAACTTTTATTCTGCACATTCTTATAAAGGTGCTATTAGGCTAGATTCATGTCCATACCATTGAATTTTTTGTTTGCATTTCCATTGTAGAAGATGAACCGTGTAAGCAAGTTTAGGCTGCATGTATATGCACTTTATTATATCATTCACGAAACCAGGTTTTTTAAGTTCTTTTATGCTAAAATAATGTGTGCTTCTCAGGTGGAGAGGCGTGAGTGGGACAATAAAAGAAGGTTAAGCATACTACTCATCAGGTTTTATCTGTTGAATGGTACGTCACGTTTACATCAAGCCAGAAGGAACCTCCTTGAACGCAGTAAATGGCATGCAAGTCGTATTATGAACATTACACCTCAACTTCGGGAATTTCAGGCATTATCATCACTAAAGGATATCCCTTTACTTCCAGTTATTTTGAAGCCTGCGAATGATTCTTATGATTCTAGTGAAAGCAAGGAAGTAGATCTGAGCAAACTGTCCCAACCCTTGCAGCGTATACTGAAGTCATCCTTTAATGACAGTCAACTTGAAGCTATTAGTGTTGCCACTGGAACACCTAGGCGGAAGAAAGATTTTGAATTATCCCTTATTCAGGGTCCTCCAGGTTTGTGGTTTACCTGGCTAACTTTCAGTCTGAAATATTACTTGATTTATCATTTACTAATTGGGTTGAATTCCATGTATCATATATGTAGGTACTGGTAAGACGAGAACAATTGTGGCCATTGTCAGCGCTTTGCTTGCTTCCCCTACCCATAAGACAGATCCTGACGAAAAAATTTATGATCGCAGTTCGAAGCAAATTTCAGTTCCCAAGATTAACCAGGCTGCTGCTGTTGCAAGGGCATGGCAGGATGCAGCCTTGGCCAGACAAATAAAAGAGGATGCCCAAAGGAATATGAACGCTGTAGATGGTTGCTTGAGAGGAAGGGTGCTCATCTGTGCCCAGTCTAATGCTGCTGTTGATGAATTAGTGTCAAGGATTTCTAGCCAAGGGCTGTATGGAAGTGATGGAAAGATGTATAAGCCATATCTTGTGCGGGTTGGGAATGCAAAAACAGTTCATCCAAATTCGCTACCATTCTTCATTGATACACTTGTTGATCAACGGTTGGTGGATGAGAAAATGAAATTGACAGACACAAAGAATGATTTGAGTGTCGATTCTTCAACTACACTGCGCTCTAATCTTGAAAAGTTAGTCGATCGTATTAGATTCTATGAAGCCAAACGTGCTAACTTAAATGATCGGGATCCTGACCTTAAAAAGTCTTCTGTAGATGATAATTATAAGGGGGATGATGGGAAGGACATGTCTGATGCAGAATTATCTTTCAAGTTAAGAAAACTTTATGAGCAAAAGAAGCAAATTTATAAGGATCTTAGTATTGTTCAGCAGCGGGAGAAGAAAACTAATGAAGAAATCAGAGGACTTAAATATAAACTGCGGAAGTCTATACTAAGAGAAGCTGCAATAGTGGTAACTACATTAAGTGGCTGCGGGGGAGATCTTTATGGAGTGTGTTCTGAATCTATGTCAAGTCAAAAGTTTGGCAGTCCACCTGAACATACTCTTTTTGATGCCGTTGTTATTGATGAAGCTGCTCAAGTAAAGTTTGTCAAGTTCTTAAGAATAGTATCTGTGGTTGTGTATTGTTTCTTTCCTGCCTTCTAAAATTGGTCTTTGTTACAACAGGCTCTGGAACCTGCTACTCTGATTCCTCTTCAGCTTTTAAAGTCTAGGGGCACCCAATGTATCATGGTAATAATGCTTAACTGGATCACATATCAATTTTATTTTGTGTTGTTTGGTAGTGCTGACATTTGAAATTAATGTTAAAGGTTGGCGATCCAAAGCAGCTTCCTGCAACTGTTCTTTCAAATGTTGCCAGTAAATTTCTTTATGAGTGTAGCATGTTTGAACGTTTACAAAGGGCTGGACACCGTGTTATCATGCTGACCAAACAGGTAGATTAAAATGGCAAGACTTCCCACCCCTTCCCACTTTAATGTATTATACAGGTTATAGTATAAATCTGATGGAGTTTGTGCATCTATTTGTAAATTCTCTCACTTTTGTTGGCATTGATTGTGTTTGAGGAATGGGGAACCATTTCCTTTCAAATGAACATGATAGATCTCTTTGTTTCCATCATTGGTTTATTGTTATACTTCTGGACACTGGCTGTGCATCAAAAAGCATGAACATTAATATTTGTAATTTGCCCGTACACTTCTAGTCGGTTGCGATGTGTGTGATCTTTGACAACTGATCCTAGTTTTTCTTGAACGTTCATATTATTGGAATTTTTTGTTTAATTTCCAATTTTATTCACTTGTGTCATCTTTGCAAATATGTGTTGCCTGATTGAAAAATTAAGTGGACATCCGTCTTACTGCAGAGAATGACACCCCATGCCTTCTATCAAAGTAATTTTCTCAGTGTTACATAATCCCCGACTATAATAATATCTCTTGCTTATATTTAAACTTTTTCATTTTACATGAACCCGCATTATTGTTTGTAAACTTACTGTATACTCACTACCACCACTGCCTGCTGCTTCTGTTGCTACATGTTATTTTACTTTTGCTGCCACTGTTTCTGGATGAGGTGGGGTATGAATATCTTTCTTGTTTAAAATGTTAAGATATTTTCTTAGACGTTATTATTGTTTGCAGTATAGGATGCACCCAGAAATATGTCTGTTTCCTTCTTTGCATTTTTATGAGAAGAAGTTGCTGAATGGCGATCATATGTCTAGCAAATCAGCATCATTTCACGAGACTGAAGGTCTTGGACCTTATGTATTTTACGATGTTATTGATGGCCGGGAGCATCGTGGTAAGAATGCTAGTGGGCTGTCCCTTTATAATGAACATGAAGCTGATGCTGCAGTTGAATTACTCAAGTTTTTCAAAAAGAGGTACCAAGTTCTTTTTTTTTCTTCTCAAAATTGGTGGTTCAAATTAAGCCAGTGGTTCAAATTTATATTTGATGTTGCCTAGGTACCCAGTCTTCTTTCAAGATTAGTTATTGATTTTTGGTTGATGCTCATATAGTGGATATGTTGCTTAGGTACCCTTCTGAATTTGTTGGTGGAAGAATTGGCATCATAACTCCATATAAGAGTCAGCTCTCGCTGTTGCGTTCTCGTTTTTCTAGTGCCTTTGGATCTTCGACCATGGATGATATGGAACTTAATACTGTTGATGGCTTCCAAGGTCGGGAGGTTGATATACTGATACTTTCTACCGTTAGAGCGGCAGAGCCAAGCTCTGCTGCACCTGGAAGCAACTCTAGCAGTATCGGATTTGTTGCTGATGTAAGACGGATGAATGTTGCTTTAACCAGAGCCAAGTTCTCACTTTGGATTTTGGGTAATGCAAGGACTTTGCAGACAAACCAAAACTGGGCTGCTCTTGTGAAAGACGCTCAAAAGAGAAATTTGGTTAAAACAGCTAAAAGGCCATACAAGGACATGTTCAAAACAGCTTCCGAGCAAAATTCTGGTAATCGTTCATTGGAGCCACAACATGTCCAAAAGGTTAAAGATGCAAGTCAGCATGCAAGGAAATATGTCCGAAGTGCAAAGGAAGCGCATGAAAGAAAAACAAAACACATCGATCATGTTCAGAGTAAAAGAAGACTTGGTGCTAGTGAACCAGATGTTTCAGCAACTAAAGATGATACCAGAATTAAAATTGTGCATGCCAGAGATGAATATGATTTACCACTGAAGGACGGCTTTTATACCGTCACTCCAGATGGCCAGGGTAAAAATTCCAAGGATGTCAAGTTCACAGAGTCGGAGGAACGTGTTACAGATAGTGAAAGTATAGATAAAGATAGCAAAAAAAGGAACATTAATTTGAACAATACTCAAACTGGTAAGAGGAAAAACAAATTTGAAAATTCAAAAAGGGATGCAGATAACTCTGAACAAAGAACAGATGATGGTAGACCTATGAAATTGCGAGAGTCAAAAAGGGCTAAGAGATCTTTTGATGGTGACAGAAGCCAGAAAAAGCAAGTTTTACCTCCCTCAGATCAAGCAAAGGATGCAAGTGATGGAGGTAGAGCTTCAAATCAAGTTGCAACTTCTCAAGATTTAATTGCAAAAAGGAAAAAACAGCGGGAAGCTGTTGATGCTATACTTTGCTCATCTCTGATTCCTTCAAAGAAGTCTGAAAAATCAATGAAACCCGTGCCTGCTAAAAGACCTCAATCGTTTTCCTCAACTGCAAGTGGTGGCATAAAACCACCCAAGTCAAGGAAAGATTGACTGGCCTGTTTTGGTGTTTTGTCAGGTATGATTTCTCTTATAGCATTAGAAAATTGGTGGTTAGCAAATTGCTCTATGAATACATATATTTTATTGGTAGCATTTTAAATCTGGTCATGGTTGTGAGCTTTGTTATTTGAAAGCTTCGTAAGCCTGAGGTCGCATTCTTGGTGGAATAACAATTATATTGAAACAGAATTGTCCGCAGGAATAATAATTATGTTGTGAAATTTCATCCTGAAATTTCTCCATGACACGCTCATATGGCATCTTCTCTCGTTATTGTGTTGTGGAGGGATGGATAGGTTGTGGGTTTGATAATCATTAGCTGCGTGATTGAAGTTACCAATATGACTTAGAAACTCATGTTAGGCAATGAACTATTGGTTATATTGGTGTGGCATTTCTCTTTCACCCCATACTAAGCATAAGCGTTTGCACTGTATTGAACATTCGTGTACTAGTCCTTTTAGTTCCAGTAGATATCTATTATTAGAAGTTCAGTAAGTGTTGTGAGATATTGAAACTGTTGAATGTATTTGTAATCAAACTCTTCTATATGTTTGCAGTTTTGGCCAGAATTCTCAATCCGTGAACTTTGTCGCGCAACCCAGAATATACAACTGACTGCTTGCTTACAACGAGCCTAAGTTTTCCATTCATTTATTTGAGATTTGAAGAACGTCGTAAGTTTTTGCAGACTGCTATAGAGAATGTACAGCTGACTGCTGGCTTACAATGTGCAGTATTTGGTTGCATCCCTCTGCAGTCACAACGAGCAGGACAGGAGGTCCGATTTGAAGGTGTTTCATCTGAAAATTTCTGGTACGGGATTTTGTATGCCATTGTAAAATAGTCTTTTGATAGGTGTGCCGCAATTGGTTTAGCTCGTATCCTTTCTATGGTTTTTGGAAGGTCATGTGTATATATCAGTCAGTGTAAGTACTAGTAATTGTGCTCTTCTTTAATTCAGAATTTTTCGTCCTATAAACCTCTTATCGACCAAAGCAATTTCATCCGGGTAGATTGTTTTAGTTTATTAAAAGTATCAGTTGTATTGCCATGGTTGTGTAAAGAAATGAATATACTTGGTTTTTTTGTATGTATGGAGCCATTGTTATACGACGATGAATTACAATTTGACACATCTCTAAAACTTTTCCTTTTGCCATTTTAACGAGTTACATTTGCTTGTGTCAGACTAGATTTGCAGAAAGGAAGGAATGATTTGTTCTAGTCTCTTTCCAGCAATCTTCAAATGCATTTTCACCTAATATTAGAGTAATGGTAGGTAGACTAAATTTGTAGACTAATTGCAAATTAGATGATGCATCACTAATAAGAAATAAGCACGTTAATCAACATTTAATTAATAATGGGCAATGCTAGGTAGGCCAAACCAACTAATGTATCATCAATAAGAAAGAAACACGTTAATCAATATTTAGGTAATAATCTAATAATCAACAACCATATCATTTGGTTTAAAAATTTAGTCTCCCTATCATTACCCATTAATAATCCAATAATCAATTTCCATGTTATTTAATTTACAAAATTTTGTCTACAAATTGTCTCCCTAACATTACCCATATGCTATGCATGCATCTCTACCATAAGATAATCTAGTAACTAATCCATTTCAATTAATCCTTAATATCAGACGCCATAAAATAATCTAGTTACTTATTCATTCCAATCCAATCTAATCCTTAATACCAAATGACCATAAGAATTGACCTCTTACATGTCCAACCCGCACGTGACTTGTGCCCTCGAAATATTAGAACCAAGAATCCCTAGCTCAAACTTATTGGGGGAGGGGATCGGTATAATAGCTTGGTGATTTATCGTATTTTGGGATAACTAATTGTACAATCATTGCCTTGGTATTTCATGTATCAACCATGCAACAATATATACTCAATGTGACCGGAATACGTAATGATACACCACGTATTATTATACAAATGGTGAGATATATGTGTTAAAAAGTTAATAACTTAAAAAATACAATTTCCCACCACTTATATAAAAACATGTGGTGTACCATTTGTATTCTAGTCACAATGAAAAATTTCTTCTAAAACTCCTCGAAAGGTTAAAATTCTAAAAGTAAGAATTCAGCTAGAAACCTTTGCAAGTGTCCAAAATTTAGCTTGTTAGTTTTTTTGTTTGTTTGCTTTGGTAAGGTGTCCAAAGTTTAGTTACTTATCAAAACTTGCACATTTGGAGGGAGGGCATGCATACTTTACCGAAAGAGGCAATGAATTTGTAAACCTCAAGATATGAAGAAACTGAAATGTCAGTGTACCCTAAGCCAATATAGAAAGCAAAATATTGAAAGAGCTAGGAAATTGTCGATACGATCAAATGCATGCATCTATATATGGATATGTGTAACAGTAAGTATGGTCAACCGAATTGATATTGTTGTCTATTTTTTGAAAAAAAAATGGTTAGATTCAGGCTAGAACAATTGTAGATTTGTTCAACTTGTTGTCTAACTAATTCATATTCTATGTAATGTACATCCAAACCTTCTAAAGAAAAAGAGCATAGTCGTAGACGTGTTTAGAATACTTTAGCTAGACTGGTAATGCATGTTGAAAATGTAATGCATCTATGGTTAGAATAAACTTAATTACATAGATCTGGATGACTCATCGGATAGTTCTTTTAAAATAAATTATTAGAAGTGGTCGTAGTTCTTTTTGGGGGTGCGAATGTTCCGGAAATCGATGCATTTCATTTGCTAAAAATTGATTAAGGTACGTATAATCTTGTTGCTGAAGGGAGAAGCAAGCTTACCCACCACAGGGAAATCATGTGAGATGCTGCGTGCATGCACGTTGGGTAATTAATCAGAGTTGTCACCTATTATTTTGGACATGTGATGTGATGAATTTCTCTAACGGGCTTTCAGATTTAGTAATCTCATTCTTTTATCTTATGCGGCGTTGCTTGCTTATGATTAAGCAAATGCCCCCCCCCTCTCTCTCTCTCTCTCTCTCAACTAGTCTATCATGAAATCATTTCCACAAATTCCTCATGGTGAATTGTTTAACACTCTCCTCATTTAGCACAGATCTTATTTTTTGGTTTTGGGATGCACACTACTTTGGCATCTATTGGTACAAAATAATAGTGTTTTTCAAAATGGTCTATAAGATTGGCTTAACTTCTCACTTTAGTTTCTGAGTTTTGAAATCAATAGAAATGGCATCTGACTTTGTCCACCATCATTCATTAATTTGGTCCTTGCATGAAAAAGTCTATTAAATAAGTACCAAATGACAAAAATACCCTCCATTTGATAAACAACATGCCAAAATGTTTTGACAAAGATTGATGATATTTTTGTCATTTTATCCTTATTTAATGGAGATTTTTCATGGAATGACCAAAAAAATTGATGGTGGATAGGAATTACTTCTATCGATTTCAAATCTTAGGGATCAAAGTGAAGAGTTATGCTAATCTTAGAGATTATTTTGGATAAAAAGCCAAAATATTATGTAACAATTTCACATGTAACTATATGTTACGTTTTCATATATCAATTAACTGTAAAGCTACATGTTTAGCTTTTTATCAATAGTCTAACAATTACAAAAGAACATCATTATAATCTAATACTTCCATGTTGATGATTTTAAATTAGTTATATAGACCCATGTTTAGGGATAAATTTTTATTTTTTTAATTAAACAAATTGATATTTTTTCACCCTCCCGAACTTGCCAATTATTTGGGGTGAATAAGCGATCATTGTATAATTAGGTTTATACCAAGGGCGGAGATGGAAATTTAAGCAGAGGTGACTAATATTTCATTGCCTGAAAGCTTACAATTATTGTGGCCTGTATTTAACTGAGAGAAGAGTGAGACGTGCGGCAATAGAGAGAATGAAAGATGGAGAATAAGCTTGAGGAATTCTGTGTGTTGTTCTCCAAAACTTGTGCCTTTATTAATAAGGAGAGAAATTTGATCTCCACGTACAAAGTTTGATAGGAAAGATCTTCTAGATCTTGAAAGATTCCTAATCTATCTTTACTTAGGATTTGCACAATCACATATATATTAAAATGTATATCACAACAACAATACTATTTTAAAGATACAATTAGAACTAGTAAAAGTATGATTTTTCTCTAATTGTATTTAGTTGGGGGGCTAAATTGCCAAAGTATTATATTATATGTAGTAAAAACAGTCAAATGACTTTATATGGTATTTAATTTTGCGAAAATCCGGGCTGTGCTATAGCCAAGGGAAATTACACATAGCTCCGCCCTTGGTTTATTCATAACGTTGTACATATATAATTTCTTGCTGGAACTCAATACATAATACGATTGAGAATTCACATATGTAAGAGAAATACAACAATAAAGTCTTATCTCATTAATTGTGTTTGTTGTATAAAATCCTATAACGTCACTGCACTCATGCATGAGAAATGCTATAAAAAAAATATGCATAATAATTTTTGTCAGAATCCATACCAATTATAGTGGCCATAGTATTCTTGTTGTGAACTTGATCATCATTTGTTTTCCTTTATCATGAAAAAAGGGCATGATTGGAGAGGGCCCATAAAGATATGCTAAATTAACAATGGCCGGAAAATATATATGATATATGTAGTGATAGAACAATATATGATTGGATTGGAAGGATCCCATTGGGATTTGCTTGCTTTATTTTTGAGAAGTAGAATTGATATTATATATATATATATATTACATGGAAAAATTGAGTCAGTCAGAGGGAGTAACCAAATTTTATTTGTTATTGGTTCACATTTTGTGAGAGTGACCCCGTTCAGCTCACTTGGTTTCTTTATTCCATGCAAACCTGCAATTGATGTTGCCTCCATCAAATAGGCAACTTGAGAAAAGACCTGACCCTTGCCACATGATATCTCATTCTGCATGCAGTATCAGTATCAATAATAGGAGAGATGCACCTCGATCTTTTAGCCACATATCTCTTTCTACTGCATTAATGCGTTGCATGCATGCATGCATTTGCATTCTCACTCATTGCAGCCCCAAGAGAAGCTAAATATATGCGTATTTGTATTCGTTATATTTTGGGAGCTCTCATATATACATGGAAATAAACTTTCCACGCAAATGATCATGTTGTTTTGTCTTTCGATGAAAACAAATTACAACTGAGAACGAGCAGTACACACACACAGACACACATATAGTAGCTAGTTCATTCTTCACATGGGATAACACAAAAAGATTGTCATCATTTTTATTGATTGCTAGCAATTATTGAATTTAATTGGTTACAAAATGTTGAGTAATGCTAGGAAGATTATGCATTTTGTAGTACAGTTTAAAATTAACCATATTATGTGTCAAGTGATGTGTAAAGAGAAAAATTTCATGCACCAGCGATATATTGTTAATAATGAATCTCACACTGATGAGAGGAGGCCCCTAGCATGAGATTATAAGTTGGGCCACTTCTCATATTATGCATGGTGGAACCTCAATTTTTTTCATATATCTAGCTATATCCCTCTCTTTGTGATTGATCACGTGACTTATCAAATGATCATCGACAAAGGGAGGAATATCGAGATATACCCATGTGGTATTCGAATTTTTGTGCAAAAATATCGTACTCCCAACAATGTTCAAAACTATTCAAAGAAGCTTTTATGTGAAATATATATTGGTGATGAATTCATGATAAAATGATTCTAAAAGAGTTGATCCTATATATTCCCTTCGAATCAATGTACATTGTTAAGTTTCTTCATACTAATTTAGTTGGTATAGTATAGATAGCACTGGAAAACAGCAAAACTGACAAAAATATTGTTTGACAATTCTATTGGAATTTCAATCTATATAGATATATAGCTTTTTAGTTTCCCTTTCTATCGTCCAAATGTACCTATTGCATCGTCTCCCAAGAGATTTCCTATCAAATTTTATAGATTATTAGTATAAGGACTTTTTATATATATATATATGAATGTTTGTGCCAATTATGTATGGTAGTCGATTGATCGTGATCTTGGAGGCACTGTATAACTAGGTGCGTGTAACCTGTTTTTACACATGCATTGAGATTTTATATTTCTTTATTTGATCTGTTAATTCGTTAACTTAACG